CCAGGGGTTTGTCGCATCCACGCAGGACCTTGGGGCGGAGGTGCACAGTGACCCCCACTTTACAAAGAGGGCCTTGGACACTGACAGCTTGCCCGAGCCTGCAGTCCCTGAGCTAGTGGGGGCTGGGACAGGCCCCGGTGGGTCAGTTGATGGACAGGCATGCAGCCCGATGCTTCTGATCCTTCCAGAGACGCAGGACACCCCAAGCGGACAGTGGCAGCTGTCTCAGATTTTAGACGTGGTTCCTTTATCAGTTTGGGGTTGTGGCTTGTATCCTCTGCCGCCCCGGAGTGGCTAAGAGTGGGGGTGTAGGAGGTTCACCTCTGGCCGTGGGCCCACTGCTGCTCTTCCTCACCACATCCACCCCCATACGCCTGCTAATGCTTTTGTGTGGATCGGGAGACGTGCTCGCTGCTGCCGGTCAGTCCCTGTGACCCCGTGAATTATTTCTAGATCAGAAACTGTCGGGCTTCCCCGTGCGGCCCTGTCCAAAGCCCGACCTAATTTCCTGCTGCCCCCGTTTGCTGTGTGAACAGGGGCAGGTTACTGGACTTTTCTGTGCCACTGCAACCTTGTTTGTAGGCTGTGACCACTGGCTGTGACCACTGAAGATCCACCTCTGGTAGCCTCGTTCCATAGCAGCTCAGGTGGTCTGGGCCGGAGTATCTGCTCACTTTCTTCCAAGGGTCCTCTCAGATTCAGCTAGAAATGCATTCCCGCGCCGGCTCATCCCAAGGGCCAGCGGATTCTTCACTGTTGGCCAACCAAGGAACGCTTGCCCTTGCCTGTGGGCACAGAAAAAGGACCCCTCATCTTTGTGACACCCCACTCCGATGGTTGGGGTGAATGCTGTTGGGGTGGGGTACCACAACTTTAGCTAATGAAAATGTGGGGTACCCCTTTCCCTATCTGAATTTCAGTAAACAAGTCATTTTTTTTTAGTATAAACATGCCACCAATATTACGTGGACACCACAGTGAACAAACATCATTTGTCTGAAATTCAGCTTGGTCCGAGTGTCCCAGGTGGCTGGTTTGCAAGTTCTAGGGCGACGCGGTTCCCAGCCACCTCCCTTTGGCCCTGACCTTGCAACAGAAAGGACCCCGTACAGTCCTGAAGGCCAGGCCTGACCACAAACTCTCCTGCTCTCCCAGGGCTTGGTTTCCAAGGCCGTGGCAGACGTGGGTCTACTTC